ATATAAAGTGCTAGGCATAGGAAAAGAACTGTGTTACTGGGTGAATGTTGTATATTTAACACAAAGTTTAAAAAAGTCTACAACTCCAGGGAAACAAACAAGCACCACACTGGGAAAGCACACAGATGCTCAAGACTGAGGGGAGACATGAGAGAGCTAATCAGGGGGATGGACATAGCTGGGTGATGAGAGACAGATGAGGATAATCAGACAATCAATGGGAGGGCGTCAACTCAAAATCAGACACAGATTCTAATAACAATGAGTTGTGTTTGGGAAACAAACAACTCTCACGGAAATGAGGAAACACAACAATACTGTGAGTGAACGAGCTAACGTGAAGATAGCACAGTAAATGTACTCTGACAAAACAAGGGCCAAGAAATGACAAAAAAAACTGAAACTGCAAACAACACAGTGTAGGAGGACAAGTATGAAGGTAAATATGTGTGTTTTTTTCCCTACAGGTTCTCACATTTATTCTACAAGCGCTCACATTTTGCAATTCATTTAACTTCATAGGCTCTACCATAAAATAACAACATAAATCGATAAAAAATGAAACTCTAGTTAAATAAGATGAACTGAAGACGGGAATAAAACCTATATAAATGATAAACAAAAGCTGGGACTCGAAAACAAAGAGCGATACTGAAAAAGAACTCGAAGCAGCAATCAAAATACAAAAACTGGAATAACAATGAAACTCAAACACGACAACAAAAGAACAGAACCCTAGGACTGTGACATTTAGGCGTGTTTGTTTTGCAGTTTTTACTGAGTTGGGGAACGATAATGAAAGATTGCTCTCAACAGCAAACTAAAGAATAAATCCCACTCGTTGTGGTCCTAGATAGAATCGGGTGTTAGATAACAATCCTGTTTTTGAATCGTTGTGTCATCCCCAGTACATATCCTTAAAAAAAAAAAGATTGCCATAAGTAAAAACAATGTCCAGTAATGCGACCTGCAAAGATTTGAGTAGTTATCTGTTAAAAGACTGCATGTTCAAACAAATGCAGGACCCCACATGCTCATCACCACACAAATGTGTTTATGTAACACAGCATTGAAGTTATATTTTAACCTGGTAGACTTCATTTAAAACACCCCTAAAATACTGAACAGTTACATTTTTCCCTTCTCATCTAAAAATGTCTTTTCTTCCCACATATATTCACATAACACAGACCTGTGACACAGAAAATTTGGCAATCAGATGCCCGGCACTGATAAGTACAGAGTATGTGTCAGATTTCTTCATCATCTTCATCTTCCTAACAGACCGAATGTGGACTATTCTTTGCCTCGACTGCGGGGATTTGTTAACCACCGCTGATTCTCCCCCATGTTTCTGAGAACCGCAGTTAATCTGTATTCTGCTGCAGTTGCTCATCCTTCTCAAACCAAACAAGCAACATGGGACTTCATCTGCTGGCATATTTATAGCCATTCCAACAGCAGCGAAAGGGTTTACGTGAGAATAACAAGCTGTGAAACAAACTGAAAATTCTGGATAATGACTTTGACACATCACAGCCATTTGCAGATACTGAATAGAGGCAGGCATCCACAATGTCCACAGATGTTTATCTGTAATGTTAATGTTTATGTTTGGCACAAGTAGAAGTAAACTGACAGAAGAAACTGTGAAGGGTATGCTGTATCCGAAGCGCCGATCAAAGACCAGCCCAGACACGATGTGTTCTGATTAGCATTTGCTCTCAGGAGAGAAAGAGAGATAGAAATGTAATGGTGGGTTTGTAGTTGCCATTCTACTTTCATAAAAAATGGCTTCGCTAATGGAATAATCAGTACTCTCAAGAGATAAAAAAGTTTTATAGTATAGGTCAAAGCAGAAAACATCAAGGGAGCATTCTCAAACAAAGAGATGAGCCTTTCGCTGTTTTTTATTTGCTGCTGTTGTTCAGCTTGTCAGAGGATATTCTCAGGTAGAAGCTCTGTTACATTCAGCGTCAATCTCCTTTTGTCCTGAATCTTTTATAGCTGTTAAGATAAATGTGCTAATGAACAGAGCTGATAGGCCTTTGCCTCTCTGCTGTCTGAATTAATAACCATATGATGCTTTTTCTTTTAGGGTCTGTGAGAGAAAACTGTTATGTTTGGGATGTCTAGTGAAACGAGGTCTCTGGGATCTTCAGTATTAAGACAGAACAAATAGGAAAATGCAGTGTAGAGCCTTGCTGGGGGAAACGAGGAACCCAACCTGATAAATTATTCTACTTGTCTGCAGGAACCAACAGCAAGATGCTTTCTGGCTCCCAAAGCTAATGCCAAATACAGTCTAATAAATTGATTCAAACCCACAAAGTGTGGAAGAAGCTTTTCGTCTGTTATCACACTTATACATAGTGCTTGTCTTTGTTTTGCTTTATAAAATGCAAAGCAAGTCAATACACAGCAAGAACCTGGCTTATTAGGCAAATAGCAGCATTGATTTAAAGATTCAGACCAGTCAATTGTTGTAATCAAAGCATTTCCTTTCTTCTTCCCTCTCCATTTGTTCTTGTATTTTCCCTTTCCCCCCCTCCCTCTATAGCAGACAGTATCCAAAGTCATCCAAATGTGTTTTTGGAAGGTGAACAAACTCACGGAGGGCCGACTTCGCAGCAGTCCTCTGAGACCGACACTGAAGGAGGAGGAGGAGAAGAGGGGGGGCGTAGAGCCAGTGTGACCAGTGTGGAAAGTGAAATGTCGATTTGCTCCATGGGCCAACTTGGAAACACCATCGCTAACAGTGAGTGGGAGGAAAACAAAGAGACAGAAAGGCCACGCCGTCGTCTTTCATTTGTCTTCTGGAGATTAATTCAAGTTGATGAGCTTTCACAGCTTTTAAAGTGACCTCAGATCCCCCATCTAAGTATGAGGATGTGTGTTTATGTTTCAGTTTCCAGTAGTTGGTGGGGCTCCAAGAGGCTGGACTATGCTCTGTACTGCCCTGATGTGCTGACTGCGTTTCCAACAGTGGCTCTGCCTCACCTTTTTCACGCCTCCTACTGGGAGTCCACTGACGTGGCAGCTTTTGTTCTTCGGCAGGTGAGAGAGCCTTGCTAATAGCAGTATTGTTTTCTCGAAAATGGCTGTTTTTGCAGCTCAAATTGAAGACTAACTAAATCCTGCAGCTCACTTATACCCTTAATCACAGCTTTGATCTGGACATGATCACTAGATGAGGTATGCTTTTTGTTGGTATCTTAGGTATAAGAGGTATCTTATTGTCACTCATTCCCTGCAAATGATGAAATATAAATTGCCTATTAGAACAAACAAATCAGATAAATAAAGAACCACCATCATTTTCTAAAAATACAAACACATCATCCACCTATCCATCCTCGTTCTGTCTATGTACACACTTACTGTTTCCAAAGGAAATTAGATGGAAAATTGCTGCCAGTTCCTTTTCAAATCATTGCATTCTGTTTTTATTTGCGACTCTTTTTTGGAATTGTGGTTGTATTATATCATAATATGTAAAATGACAGAGGCTGTACTTACTTTTTACCTAACTGTATTTAAATATCTAAAAGCGTCATCCACTGGACTCTTTCTGAGAGATGCACCAAAAACAAGTTCAGCTCTCTAACGCAGTTCAATATAGCAACAAAAACAACGATAAAGGTGTGGGAGGTAGGACATGGAGATAATGAGCAGAGGTGTCAAGTTGGAAACAGTGTATCTTAACATTATAAGAATAAACTGTGGTGTTTTTAGACTCATGCACTGGCATTTCATGCAGTGTGCTTAAAACAATAAACTGTCTTGTTCTCTACATAACAGGACAAAAGAGAAAGGGTTTATTAATGTAAAACAGTTCATACAATGTGTAATTCAAAGAGCATACAATGACTTGACCTATTTGTCACACTAGGAGATAGTCCATCCATCCGTTTTCTTAACCACTCATCCAATTCAGGGTCACGTGGATCGCCTGAATACTATCCCGGCTGTCACAGGCCAAGAGGAGGGCTGCACCCTGGAGAGGTCACCTGTCTATCACAAGGCTAATTCAGAACGCAGAGAATCGTTCACGCTCAGACTAGCAGAGACGGAGAAAAAAGTTCAGCTGTACTGTAAATGGGAGCGTGCTTCACTGTAATTGAATGGATGGCATGTGAGGAACTCAGCCATTTGAGTTTGATCTGATTCCAAAAGTCCACAACAACCACAACCAGTCAAACTTCACATTTTTGTCCAGACATGAAACTCTGTTCAGCATATGTTGTAGATGCTGCCTAACTTTTCAGCTGTCAGCATGAAAACATGAAATAGGACTCTCTAAATTACTCTCTTTTACACACACGCGCGCACACACACACACACACACACACACACACACACACGATGTGCAAAACAAGGCAAAGTTACACTTGATGTGCTTGATCTTATGTGAAGCTGTTCAGGATTCATCTGACCCATCACAGCTGAGCCTCTGACAAACTGAAACCCTTTTATCAAGCTTGCTCTTTGATATGCCAAAAATATGGACATGTCTGATTTTGTGGTCTAGTCTGCTTTATAAATAAATTCAATAAGCGTATGACTGAAATCTACAAAAGTTTGAAAATGTATGTGTGCTGCCAACTCTTTGGCTAGGCTTTCTGCAAATATGTTCTCAGCTTAGGCTCAGCTGTAGCCATTTCCATATTACCATCCTCAACTTTAATTAGTCATACGGACCCATCATTTGATCAGGAGAGTCTTAACATGCTGGCAGTATATATTTCTAGCACTAAAGCTGGAATTAAGCAATGAACCTTGACAAGGTTTATGCCACATTTTGCCCACTGAACTGCCCATAAAAATGTTATGGGCAGTTCAGCTTTAACCTATGATAACAAGGATAAGGAGAATCTGTAACTCCTCAGATACCAATGAACACTATGCCAGTAAATACATTTGAAAAACATCTGTTTAATCACATTATTTCTTATGAAAAACTTCTAGAAACACTGGCACTCTTTTAAAACAGATGATTAGAAAGCAGAGCTTCCATAGGGAAAAGAAATCTCGTGTTGGCTCGATCTGCTGTGTGTTGTCTTTGTGAGACAGTGGAGAGGATTTAGAGATGCACAAAGTAAACAAAGCTCTATTGAAGTCATTAGGAATTTAATAAACCTTGGCGTACAGCATCATTTGTGCTGCAGAATATTTACGATTTGTAACACAATGTAAAAGTTGTGTGAAAAGTCATTTGCCAGACTTTCTGTTGCTGTGTTAATGGAAACTCTCTCTTGATGTTTAGGCCACCTGGTCAAAAATGATAAGCAGAGCCTCAGTCAAGCAATATGCAGTAATTCCCTACAAAACTGTGAATTAGAAACACGATGAACCTCTTTTAAGGCTTTAGATGCACTGTTCGTCAGTATATCAGCTAACAGTAATTAGCAAACAAACCTGTGTTATCTTATGGAAATGCCTGTTCTTATTTTTAAATATTCTTGTATTCATTAACAGCTCATGCGATGTGACTGCATAAAGGCAAAGGAAGCAGACAACTTGGACTCGGCTCCTTTCTCACCCTCTGGTCCCCGTGAGAAGTGGCTTAGAAGGAGGACACATGTCAAACTAAGGGTAAAAAATTAAAATTCCCCCTTTTTTTTGGATGTATATACTTTAATACCAGATTAACATGATGTTCAGTGTTTTGGGAATCAAGAATTGGCTGACTAAAAAGATGATCCTAGAGTCTAGTTAAAAGGCTTTTTCAGCTGTGGCTGACACTGGCAAAGACTGTAGACGTGTAGAGTGGTAGGCAGGGTTGGCAAGCTGTCAAATCAATCAGCAGATAGAGTTGACACAGGTTTGGCTGGCTCACACAGGAAACCTAGGGCGCAAAGATAGCAGGTTAGCAAACTAGCGATCAGAGCAAGAGTTTGGGAAACGAGAAAGGCTCCCCTCTACCACAACAATTGAACGAACAATCTGCGAGCTAGTGTATATATACTGCAGGGTGTTGATTAGGTGATGAGCCTCAGGTTTGCCAGCCAGAAATCCGGTGGTTAAGAGATTGGTTGTGCCTTTAAGGCATGGACCAACGATGGCATGTTGATCCAAATTAAAAAAGAAAAATTAAATGCCTTTGTTTGCAACAACTGGGTTCGATTGCAAGATGCAGATGAAGTAACACAGTAAAGGGTGTAAAAGTAGTAGACAAAATCTGATTTCAGTCATCTTTCCCTAATTTGTAACATGCACTTAATCAGGGTTAAAATACGGGTACTACAGACGGCTGAAGCTGTAGTAGTTAAGTCTTTGGCCTCCATGAATGGTCTGAAGTTGGAAAAATCTTAAAATACTCCCTGATCACTGATACAGGCAGACGCACACAATTGCTCGATGTTCCTGAACCCTGCCGAGTAGAATAATCAAGGTCACATTGCTATCCCTTTTCTAAAAACACAAAATGACTGCTTGCTTTTCATGAGGCTATAAATAGAACTGAATAGCCAGAGTGCCATGGAAACATAACTATATTTGAGTTTGAAGGTTTTCTTTTTCTCGGTGTCGTCTTGTTCATGCCTCACCTCAGCTAAGTGATGTGATTCTTATGTTAGTGCTGAAAGCAGTTGCCCCCGTCCTGGATATGAGTCGGTACGTGTGGATTTAAAGCAGCCCCATGCCGATTCAGTCTGGGCGCAGCCAGATGATCTGTTTCAGGGCGATGCTATTCGGAGAGATTTGGCAACTATTTCAAAGGTTTCTTGCTGTGGTAAGAGGCCTTTGTCACAGCTGGAGAGGGACCACTACTGTGGCAATTGTTTCTTGTGTTGCTTCTCGTGTGCTACTCTTTAACAGGCAGGTGTCTGACTCACTAACTCGTGTCCTCCATAGTTTTGTCTGTGAGTTGATGGTGTCATTAGCCACAAGTTGCTTGTTCGTATTGTTTTCACATATTCCACACAGAGTTCATGACACAAAAAATAAATCTATGCTGAGCCATGTGATGCACTCAAGTCACATAGCTGCAGGCTGGGATCTTGTTAAACTGTATGCTGGTGCATGTACACGCACAGGTATGCACATATATATTTACATGTTCTCTCTCTGCATTGCCATCACAGGATGAGTAAGTGACGCCTCTTGCTGGCAGACAATTAACTGTTGACAAAGCTAATGCGGGATAGCAGCTGGAAACATTGAACTTCGTTGTTAGATGTCACATCCTTTAAATCAATTATCATTAACCGATGTGGTAAGACGGTAAAGCACAACAACAACAAGGTTGATCACATTAGCATTTAGCTGTATTTGTCATGTGCAGATGCTCCATTATCTTTCACTGAGTGTTGTCAATAAACAGCAGAACATTTTCAAGTAAACGAAATGTATCTGAGCCTTTTAATCTTGATGAAACAACCGCAGTAAACAACGATTGACTTAATAAATTTATCGTCGCTGCTGCTTTTGTTTGCACGTGTGGCTGTACACCTGTGATATTTTATTTATAGATGTTGGCCCCTTTGATAATTTATTTTGATCAATTATTGTTACAATGTACAAACATAAATCCAAAATTGAAATACTAGCTTCGTGAGGCCAATAAAACTTGCACTGTATGCTGTTAAAATTCTTCAGTATAACGTTGAGGTTGCAGAAATGACAGAGAAGTTAGGGAGGGAAAATTACAGTTTCTGTCATGGTGACCCACAACAGAGTCTGTGAATTATACATTAGCGTGCTCATAATGTGCTATTAAAATGCAACCATCTCAGCAAGAAGAGATTTAGGGATTAGTGTTCCACTGCTGGCACACTTGGAGGTACTCACTGAATAGCGCAATATGGAGAATAGAACATGACAAGGAAGCTTAATAGGGAGTTAGCATGCTTTTCTGTAAGGTCCCACAGTGCACTCTTCAGCAATATTTGGCTGGACTTGGAAATCTGGAAAAACAGGGCATGAAAGCAGGAAATTTATGGCTATTTTTCATCTCATTCCCTCTCATTGTGTTTGTCTCAAAGGCTTGTAAAGACAGGCCATGTACAGACAAAAGTGACGACTAATTTTGGTGGAAGTTCACAATAGTTCAGGTGCTTTAGATGTTCCCTTTCTTATACATTACGCATTACCATCAGGAAAGCATCTGTTCATAAATTCACTTTGCAGAGCTTAATGATGTCCCCGGACAATAAACCCTTAATCATAAAGAAACACTCAGCTACAGGTGGAGCAAGGTGTCCTGCAACAAATGATGAAGCAGACTTACTCTTGTAGAGTCATCTCAGATTACATGACAGAGACAGAGAATCAAGAAAGCTTAAATCCACAGAAGATGTTCCCTTAGTTACAGCACAAACCTTGAAAAACTGTTAGTGTCCCAAGAAGAATTGTGCTAAAAGCAACAAGTGGTTGATTAAAATTTTGATTTAAGTTTGTTCTTTTATTTTTTTTAAAGTGTCTTCACTCTAT